AGATGGTATGCATTAAAGGTTATGAGTAGGGCTGTGTATCATTTGAGATGTTCTGATCCTAGAGCGGATATAACTTTTGAGTTTCAACAGCAATACCGAAACAATACGTTTTAGCCACGCTTGCGGCAAGGCTTTAGGGATGGCAATGGCGGTCTGTTGCTTGATCAGTCTGCTGACTACTATTGGATGGATTACAATTCAGACCGAAAACAACCCTGGGGACGTGCCGTTTAGGTACTAGTGAGACAATGAAATCTGATCCAGGAAGTCCATTTGGAGTAAGAGATTATCTGTTTAAAGGCTTATCAGAAGCCAAAACATTTTACAACAGTTTGTAATACTCAGAAAGAATTTTAGTTAGTTATCATGGCAGAAACGGTAGTATCTTTCATCACAACTATTGTGAGGTAAACAGAAGAAATACATCATTCATGTTACAAAGTAATCTACCAACAATGCATGCTTGCATGGATGTGATTGGCCAATGGGCAGCCCTTTGCCGGAAGTCTTCTTGCTGAAGTTGATCCTGGTCAAACTTCTCAAATGTTAAATGCTGTCTAAACACAGACAGCCATACAATAACTTTGCCAGAATAAAATACTGGCAACATAGACAACACAAAATAAGTAAACAAGACTATAAATCTGACCAGACATTTGCAACATTCGGTACTTGACAGTTTTTGACACTGAAAAGACACATTTCTGAGGTCAATGCCATGCACCGCCTGTCCTCTTGTATGAACAGCATCTGTGCAAAGCATACTGGTCCTTTTCACTCTCTGTCACTTTCACACACTCGCATACACAATATAAATACAGGAGCTGCAGACACTACAATGCCCACACACTCCCAAGCTGAGCAGCTTTAACAGTTGTGGTTTAGTGCTCTAAATTCCAGTCTGGCTCAATCACCAACTCTTTGATCCCCTCAATGGCTTTCTTTGTGTCCCTACAGTCACAGAGGTTAAAGTAGGTGGAGTTTCTCTCTTTCTCCCTCTCACATACACACACACTTGCACACAAATACAGACAAACACACACACTGCAGCCCACAACTATCGCTGTGAAAAAAAGTGCTGATGCATATTTTCTTCTGTTTGTTGCTAGGGGAGTCCCATGTAGCGGGAAAACAATGGGATAATTGTTACCATGTAAAAGATATCCATGAGAAACTTTAAGACTCGTTGGTTGGCCAGCTGCTGCTCGAGCAGACGGCGAATGCACTTCATCGCACTAGAAGATGTGGATACAGGAGCGGGGCATCTGGTTAGCACCGAGCCATTTTATACGCAAAAGAGTCGTCTCTGATCTAATGTTACAAATGACAGAGCTGTCGTCCTCTGAGTCCCCAGCAGAGGGAAGGACAGTCCGGGGGTGTCACTTTACCACTCTGCACACTTTAGCCTCAAAACACTAAAACTGTCTCTGTACTCAGAGACATCTACATCCTGACTTCATCTACATCCTGACCTGAGTCAATTTATTACCTTGAGACCTGATAAATAGATGAAGAGACTTTTACTTTGCAAAAATAACAAGTAGCATTGGAACGATTAGTTGATAGAAAGAAAATTAATTGGCATTAATTAGGATAACTGAGTAATCACCTCTGTTTTATATCACTGACATTTTTTATTCATTCATAATGGAAATAGTCTTTCAAACTAAAGACTGACAAGGCGCTACTCTACTCGGTCTATTCCAGATATTTAATTGGCTCTAGACTGTTAAATTATTCAGGTCTGTTATTCCACATTTTCACTATAGACTTGACTCAAAACTTCTGAAGACTTGAGACAACTGCGGCTTGTGCAAAGTTGACTGAAACCATTTCACAATCAAAAGCTCCCTATTTGGGCTCTATGGCACTCACATTACACACAGCCTGTGCGTAAACAAAACAAGGGCTTTCGCAATCACACCACAGCATTCAAACAAAAATCTACACCAGGTTAATTCATCTGTTCCTTTACCTGCCTCACACCCCTTACAAATGAGCAAGTAAAGTGGTGTTGGATAAATACTGTTGTTCATTTACAATAACTGTATTTCAGGACATATTTTACACTTGATTATACAGCGATATCCCATCATCCACTGCCTCTCACCCATGTTAAGTGAGTTGAACACAGAGTGAACATCCTCCATTATCCAGCCTCATTATCACACATTTAATTGCTGTCTATTATTAACCAGAACACACACTCAACTCTACAGTAGCTCAGGTCAAAGCATTACACAGGCTGACTCCGTTACACGTAGGGCTGGGAAATAAAACAATAATGACAATTATCCCAATATAATTTTCCTCAATAACAATTTAACAAATGTTAAATAAATGATCAATAAATATTTGCTTTAATTAATTTGAATGACAAACAAATTAGCACTTAATTGTTCTATGAAAATATTTATTTAAGAAAAGGAAGTGTAAAGAAAAAAATTCTGATTTTATCAGAATTGTTTTCAATGTTCTATCTCAGATTTGCGAAATGATCCAATGTTTGGCATCAAGAGTTTGTCATGTTCTGACCATAAATAATAATTTAAACCACATTTAACTATCTAGGTCTCTTAAACTTTCACTCAGGAGCAGATTTTTGCTTCTGACTGAAAGCCTTTAAACTAGGGCTGCACGATTATGGCCAAAATGATAATCACGATTATTTTGATCTATGTTGATTATTTATCACGATTATTCATTGATTTTTAGGGACAACGTATTTTTATTGCACTTTCAAATTTAAATAAACAGGGAACTTTTCACATCCATGATGTGCTGCATTTCTGCTAATGTACAAATCTTTGCATGAAAATAAGACTGGTCCTTAAAGTGCATCATCTCCTAGAAGAAAAATGTAAAAAACATTTTACCCAGAAAGTCCACACGGCTTTGTCCCGTCTTCTGCACAGCATTAACTTCCACTGGAAACGTCTCAGCATTTCAGGAGCTGAGCACATTGTTGGCTTGTTGCTATTTTGTCCTTTTTGTGTTTCTACCTATGGTTTCTACTCTGCTTACCAGCAACGCTTTCTGCAACCCATTTTTTCCCCCGGTTGTCTGCCTGACTGGATGCTATAGGGTGTATTTCAGAATCAGAGTGTTTTGCCTGCCTGATTTTGCTGATATGTTTAGATTTTGTTGATTTGGTAATCAGTACTAGATTTTTTTGCTTCTTCTGTGATATAGTAGGCAATGTAGATAAAAGGTTCTTTTATTGTTGATTTATGATCGGGAGTATGCACAGGGTGTTTTATTTTGAAAATTGACTGGATTCTCTATGCCGTTCTGTGTCTGACTTCCTGCCCAGTTTGATGTGCTCTGTGCAGCTTGAGATGGCTTCTGTCAAAAATAGACTTGTGTATTCTTCGGAGAGCTGCATCTGGTAGCTTCTGGGACGCTTCTGGGACGAGCTGAGTCTGATGGACTCCCAAGCATTGACTAGAAGGGCCGCGACCAGCTCCAGCAGCCGCGGCGCAGTGGACACATGCAGACTCCTGGACTTCTCTGGACTCTAGCAGCAGGAGGGAGCCTGCACAGCCAAATCGCCCCATTGGCTCTAAGTTTAGGAAGTGCTTGATTTGATATGCAGCAGAGTTTTCCATGAGCGGAGCACGCATTTTAAACAGCGATATTGCAGTCGATCAAGTTCATTTAATTGCGGGAAGCTAAAATCGTAATCGCGATAAATATTTAATTAATTGTGCAGCCCTACCTTAAACTTAAAGGAAACAATTATTTTACATTTATCGTGATAAATATCGATATCAAATGATGAGAATTTTTTTTTATCTTGATAACATTTTTGGCCATATCGCCCAGCCTTAGTTACACCCCGTTAATTTGACTAATAAATAACAACATGAATGGCATACTGTCGAGGTAAATTGATACCTTTGAACAGGCAAGCTATTAAAGGAATGGGTATTGCTTTGTTTACATAACAAACTTTCACATATTGTAATTCATACAGACACTAAAGTCACATGTCCTGTGTTGCCTTTTCATGAACAAGAGAGACATGTACCATTACTAAAATCAATAAAATAGATTGAACAAGAGCACACTGCACAGTAATGATGGCAAACTGTTTCCACATAGGTTTTCTCATGTAATGTGAAGTTTCCCCAGTCATCTTAACGTGGGCAGGACACAGAACAGTTTCAGGTATCTGTGCGTGTGTGACTGTCTTGTAATAGGGACTGAGGCATCATTAGTGCACCCCCCCCCCGCCGCTTGCATCTCCATGTGAAACATAACATTGCTCATCCACCCCCGGGCACCTGAGAACTGCACAGCACCAATCAAGCTGCTGCACTGTGATTCACAATGTGAGGAGGAGACTTGCATAACAGCCAGCACCATATTCTCAGTCCATAGTCATTCTTATAAAACAAATAACCCTGCTGTATCAGGCTGCAGTTTCCGGGTTCAGGGTCTGAGAGCAGCAGCACAGGTTGAGTGTTGGAAGTGCCATAGCATCATTTGGTTTCCACCAATGTCTGAGGCCACACACACACACACACACACACACACACACACACACACACACACACACACGGCCTCTGGGATGACAAACTTGACCCATTTTCCTCCACACAAGTCTATATGCTTATATAGCTGTGATGATGAGTAATGTATGACATATACAGACAAATCATGTGGATCAAAACAAAAAAATTTAGGTTTAAAAAAAAACCCTAAAACATGCCTGATCAGTAATAGACATTGCTCATATCATGTATCACAATCTATAAAACTAAATGCGTCTAAGATCAAATTAAATCAACAAGGATACTTGATGGAGAAATGACAGCTTAAAAAGGGATTCAGTGTGTTTTTAACTGTGCTCGGATCAACTGCAGCAGCACTGAGACTCTCCCAGCTGGCACAGGACGGCTGTTTGTGGCTGATTTCAAATAAACACAATCAAGATCCACACTTAACTTCCGTTTGCATTGCCTCCAACTATTAACCCGCTGTATAGAAAACCGTACCTTCGGATAGCTCCAGATCCAACTCCGCCAGCTGGTCCCTGACCTCTTTAGGCAGAGCCGACAGATCAACGCCGCGGTCGGCCATCGTTGGAAGCACAGCAGCCTGCGGGATGTTTGTGATATCTCGGATGACAGCGGGCACAGTCCAGCATGAAGCTAAGAAAAAAAAATCAACGTGTAATAGTGGTGGTGTTTACTCCATTATCGCGACTCCCCGACACCGCCATGACTGTGGGAGATGGGAACAACTCGCCAGAGGAGTCTGTCAGTCACATGACCAGGGCTGATGGTAATTGCTGTGACAGGATAGTGGGATAAAGCTGACTCTCTGCTCCCTCTGCTGTTGTGTTTTTACAGCTGAGAGAAGAAACAGCATTCACCCGGATCCAACTCACCTGTCTTTCATCAGCTTTTCACAAGCATCCGATTATTTCCCGAAAAATAACTATCATGATCTCTAAAAAAAGGTATTTTAATAGCCTTTACAGCTGTTCTGCAGGTATTTTCAGAATCTTTAAAGATTAAAACTATATGGATGAAGAATATTCCACTTGCTGCACAATAAAAAATTCAGTGGAAGATTTTTAACCCATTTCTCAAGTTGCCCGCTCTTGCCTCACTAAACACAGATGGCGGCCGGAAATGAAACACGTCCTTGCTCAATTTTTACAGTTGAAAATGTTTCTAATGTTTTATGACTGGTTTACTTGTATTTATATTGATGTTAGGCTACACTGTTGGCTATAGTTTACCATTTTTATATAAAATAATGTGCAAACAAAAATGGCCAAGAATGTAATTTTTGTCATTTCAGAAAAAGGTTAAAAATACACCAACTTTAGGTCCATGTTTTATACAATAAGCTATATGTAAAAACCATTAAGCAGACAGAGTATTGTTTGGTCTATGTGGTCAGACGAATTAATCCTGCATTAACTGAATTGTTGGCCACATGGGGGCAATGGAAACAAACTGTAAAGACAACATGTTAGCAACTTTTAAGTGAAATATAGTGAACGTGTTAGCAAACAGTTTCTCATTTACACATCAATCAGATACAGAGCAACCTCAGCATTCATTTGAAGTTGTGTTTATTGAAATATTTTACACGTATACTCCTTTTAGTTATGTTTTTGCTCTTCAGCAATGCTAAATGTTCACCTGCTAATCAATAACTTTGTCTGTTTGCAGGTGCTGGGCAGGTAGTGTACAGTGTAGGGCTTTCCTCCAAAACCAGCTGTCTGCTGCGGCTGATAAGGAGGCTATGATTGGTGAGGCTGAACCAAAACAGTAAAGGTGTGTGGTGCAAAACAAGACATCTGTAAAACACTCCGCAGAGCTGAGGGGAACTGCAGAGGTGGATCTCTGAACGTTATATGCAATGTTGGGCAAATTACTCAGAAATTGTAATATATTACGCCTTAAAAAATTATTTTACTTATTACTGGGTGATAGAAGTAACTAATTATGTTACTCGTTACATTATTATATAACTTTCCAGTGTTTCCCACAGACAAATGGAAAATCAATATGTAGCGGTCCGCGTTGATAATTATCAAAATTATAGGCTAATTATGGGAAACACCGCTTTCACTACCACCCCCCTTCACCCCCAAACAAAGTCTCTCCCGACTTTTTTACTAACATCATATCCATAACAGCAGCAAGGAGTGTGGTTTTTACAAAGCATATAGCCTAGGCCTAACATTTCTTAACGCCACCGGCTGAAATACGCGGTTTTACTGCACATGTAGCCTATTTATAAGAGCAGTATTCAGCAGTTACAAAACGTTACGTTAAGTAGGCTACCACACTCTCCCGACGAGTCCAAGCATCAGTGACCGCACCTGCCGGAGTTTCTTTCTGCAAGTTTCACGTCGCTGTGCTGCTTCAGCAGATGCTTCAATAAATCAGATGTAGAATAGACGACAATGTTCTTTGCATCTTAGACTGTGACACAATAATGGCAGCAGCTACTTACAGCTGTGGACAGAACGCCTCTCTCCCTCGTTCTCCATTCTTCCTTTAGTGTTTGGCGGACATGAACAAAAAAAGTCCGGTCCCGCTGAGCTGGCGCAGAGTCGTGGATTTAAGTCAAGAATGGCGCGTAACGAGTAAAGCAGCGTTTCTTGCCTCAGTAACTAGTAATGATATTAACGTTTTAGAAAAGTAATTAGTTACTTAGTTACTGGAAAAAGTAATATTATTACTGTAAGGCGTTACTGCCCAACACTGGTCATATGTGTTTCCAGCAAATAGTCATATGATCCATATTAAAGCTGCTTTAAAGATGTTGGAAATATATTAAGGAAAATGTTGCTTAACAATCTTCTTGGTTATTTCTTCAGGAAAATGTGTGCTTAGCTCTGTGATTTCAAATGTAATGGTGATACTCGAGTAGTGGTGGATGTAAGTAAATTTACTCAAGTAACTTAGGCTACTGTTAAGTAAGTACAAATTTTGAGGTACTTGTAGGCTACTTGAGTGTTTTTCTTTTCGTGCCACTTCCTACTTCTACTTCGCTACATCTCAGGGGGAAATATTGTACTTTTTACTTCACTAAATTTACCTGACAGCTTTAGTTACTAGTTACTTTACACATTAATTAAGAATTTTACACACAAAATATATGAAGAATTTATAAATATTTTGTTAAAAATTAAAATCCCCAACAGTTTAAGTACAGTTGAAACGATTAGTCGATTGACAGAAAATTCAGTGGCAACTATTTTGATCGTTATTTTTCATGTAAAAACATTTATGTGACAGCATTTCTCACTAGTTTCAAAAATTTTACAAACCAATCAATCAATTAATGGAGAACATAATCAGTAGATTAATGCATAATGAAAACAATCATTAGTTGGAGACTTTTACAAAATGTGTAAGTAATAATAATCTCATGATATATAATAGTTTAGCACTCACAGGGGACATTTTTCTTTCTGTATGGAGTATTTTAATTTTTAATACTTTAAGTACCTTTTCCTGATTATATATTTAATTAAAGGTTCAGTGTGTAAGTTTTAGTGGTAATTGCAACCACTGGCTCAGTCACTGCTCCCTTTCCAAGTGTGTAGGAGAAGTTACAGTGTCCTGACACACTCTGTTGGCGGTGTGCTCGTCTATTTGGCTAAATTTGACTTTTCTTCTTACTTCTAACAAACCAGACGACGACTACTACTACTACTTCTTCTTCTTTGTACATAGTGATCAAACTCTGTAGAGCAATTTGTGCAACTTTCATGTAAGGGGACCCTAAAGATACCTTAGAATGGCTCATTCTAAGGTAATAAAGACATAACGGTTCATTATGTAAGGTCTTCACACACCACTGAAAACATAGTTATGTGTATTATACTGCATTTCTGTCAATAGATACTCCTAAATATTACACACTGGAGCTTTAAGTAACATTTTCAATGCAGTACTTTTAACAGTATTTTTACAGTGTGGTAAAACAAACTGATGAGAGTCACAAAGTGGGGGATAAGTGAAAACATGCAGATGAGCTTTTCTTTTTCATTAATTTATTTTATGATTTGCCAGAGACAATATATTCATTAGTTGAGACTATACACAAGTAATTTTTCCCATCTTGAGGCCTGAGTATTTGACAAACTCCCTCCATACGGAGATCTTTGAGACATTTTTTTCATGTGGTTCAACATCTGTTAAACAGCTAAGACATCTACCCTCTTTACCAAAATAAAGGGACATACTAACACATGATGGAAAAAACCTAACATGTCCACAGAATAAAAATAAACATCTTACAAACAAAGACATGTTATAAAAAAAACATCCAGAGTGAAAAGGGGAAAAAACAACATGATAGTCTTGGAAGTACAATGTGGTATAAAATAAAAAGGGTTTCAAAACTTAAATTTCAAAAGAAGCACCTCGCACAAGTATTAAGTCTGCTTCATGATACAAGACGGCTTTTCAAATGTTGGAAAGCACCGAAGACTAGGACATCTGTAATTCAATGTAGATGTGCACTAATCACCTATCTCATTCATTCAAGAATATTCATCTTCACATTTTCTCTGGTCACCTCATAACTTTAGCTTTCAACTGAAATAGACCAAGCCCCTCTAAGCGGCCTACACATGTCAGCTAAATGCAAGAACATTGATATTCAATAGAAAAATATATTGCACTACTCTTTCCTTAACTGAAATGCCATGGAAAATTATTTAAAATCTATTATGTTTGATTCTGATTTAAAGGCCTTCTAAAGCTAACCATTTCAAGGGTGTTACATTAGGACTGAGGATGGAATCCTTACATAACAATGATAATTTTTGCATTGATAATTTGATGCTATAAAACAGAAGAAAAGCAGATCAATATACAGTGATAGTATGATGATACAAACAGTGGTATTCTTCAGCCTTGAGTAAACCATGCAGTCAATAGGGTTTAATACATACATGACTAATGTAATGACATCCATTCCAAAATGGCTTAAAAAGGGTGGTAAAAAAAGTCAGGCACACACTCACAGGGCAAACTGTGTACACATCTACAATTTGGTTATTATTCAGTCAGCTGACTAAACCATCATGTGTATTTAAGGAGAACAAACTCAAAAGGGAGATACAGACAGAAAACTTAAGGACAGGTTGAAAAGTAAACAAAAAAAATAGCATTAGCAACACTCTCCAGGTTGCCTTTTACTGCAATCAGCCAGCCAATCTCTCACTGTACTTTCACTGCATCAGCAAAACATTATGAAAACAACCAGTATCAGGCATAAAAGTATTTTCTTCCAAATTAAAAATACTAGTAAAATTATCAGCCTGTAAAGCAACCAACCTCATCACAGCCAGTGTGTGGGACAAAGTTGGACTGAAGATGCATTTCAAGTGAAATGAAAACAAATTTTCACAAAAACACTTTTCATCCCAATCTAAAACCTTTTCCAACTGCCATACCTGAACAAGAAATGACCCCAAACCCTGCAGAGTGAGTGTCCGACGTGTTATTCATATTTACATACAGAGAGTGACGAAGCTTTCTGAACAGGGAGCCTGCTGGGACTGGAGGGTTGACGGAGGCACTGTGCCGTGTCTTTGTGTGATTATCATTGGCTGTGAGGGGAGGAGAGTATCTTAGTCTGGGGTTGAGGGCGGGTCCCTCTTTTCAAATACTTTGCACTAGTCCGGCCTCCAAATGCCACTCAAGTTCATACTGGCCACCTGCGTCAGCACATCATCTTGGGGCTGACTGTGACTGCGACGTCATTACAATCCCTCCCGGATGACCCGATCCCATGCCGGCCAAGACCGACATAGCCACCGCCTCTGCAGCGCGGACGCTCAGCCCGTTGATGGTGGCCCCTGGACTGGATGCCGAGGCGGGAGGTGATGGCCCGTGCTGGATAACTGCCGCCGGGGAGCCGATGGGTTCAGTGGAAGTATCCCTGGAGGTTTCCTCTCCTCCTGCAG